AAAAAAAAAAAAAAAAAAAAGGCAGAAAGAAAGGAAGAAAAGAATATAGACCTGGTTGATTTTAGCCTCTGTGTGTTCTGGGGAAGTTATTTCAGTCCCTGAATCATATGTCTAAAACAAAGGTAAGATTTTCTTTCTCAAAGAGACTAAGAGGATTAAGTAAATGACATAAATCAAGTTGCTTAGTGATTTTCCCCCAGTCACCAAGCTAGCCAATGGTGGATTCAGGTCCCTTGGGTCCCCACACCTATGTCCTTATTACTGTACTTGCTACTTTTTGTGGATTTTAAAAGTGAAATCATTATTAAAGGAAATCCTCAGTACTGTGGTCTTTGTAACTGGAAACACTCTGTTTCACAACATTCTTGATAATAGCTTATCCAATATTCCTCTTTTATGACGGTAGTTAGAAAAAGAATGTTACTATTAAATCCAAGAAATTCCTTATGAAGCTTTTAAAATTCATCTTACTTGAAGTCTTCGTGGTGGATGCCTTTTAATAATACTTGTTTCTCCAGGTTCCAGAGGAATGTCAAAATACATGTCCCTGGGTGCTAGAAGGATTGGAGGAGAAACAAGAATAAACCTTTAAAAACAATTTATCATTAAATTGGGGGAATCACTAGCCAACCATTAGACTTTAACACAATCCTGTACCTTTCCAATTATATATGTCTAACCTATAGATTGAATGTGAAGATGAAATACATAAAGTAAGTAGGGGCCCTACATGAATGCAAATAATGTTAGTCTAATTTCTGCTTTCCTGCCCAGTTATTATTTAGAAGAAGACAGGCAAAATTAACAATGTATTCGCTGCAAATGTTATCCAAACATAGAATTTGGTCTGGGAAATAGGAACTTAATGATTTATATTAATTCCATGAAATCCCCTCCCCCAAAATATAGGAAATCAGAACCCATAGTTTTACGAAGTAAAAACAAACTATATCTTTTCAGAGGAAATGGAAATCGGTGGGTACATGACTAGAGGGAGAGAAATGTGACCCAGAAACGGGGCATGAGCGCGAGGTAGGAACACGCTGTACTTGGCATCAGGTGACTGCAATGAACTAGCCCCTAGCTAGGGGATTCTCCCAAGTTACCTCCGTAGTACAACGCAGGAGGGACGACGGGGGAACGTGAGGGGTGTTTGGATACATATTTACTATGACGAAAGACGCTCCATTAACCCCCTTTAAAACACTCTCCCCTATTGCTCTTGCCACTTTCGGAAGCAGATCACTCTTTTGTGAGTGTCTTTATGAGGTGTCCTAAACAATCATGGTGAATGCTGACGTCTACGGCCATCCAGCGGAGAGGCAGGCTCACGACAACGTTACAGCGAGTCCTCATCTACCTTGTTCATTGGATCTGAGACCGTGAGACTTCAGGCTCTTCCCCAAAGTTGGAGCGACCATGAGAGATAAATGTTTTGAGCAGATTTGGAACTGAAGACACAGAAAAGAGGACTCAGAACGTGAAGAATGGTAGAATCGGTGGGTTGGAAGAGGGCAGGGGATCGTGAGGGGGATTAATGGCAATGTGCTTTTTACTGGAACAATATTTTTTATTTCAACATTCATTGTATTTGTGTGTGTGTGTGTGGTTCCGGGGCTCAAACTCAGGCCCTTGCACTTGTGAGGCAGACAGCGGAAAATCTGAGCCAAGTCCCCGGCCCTTCACTGTAGTTTTTGATCGTATTTGGTATTAATATTTCCCACAAAAGAAAGCCAGCCCCTGACGGGAAACAAGGAGGCACACCAGATCCACTGCGAATTTTGTGTGTTAGCGCAGCAGTTATCCCAGGCTCGCGGAACTTTGACTACGATTAAACTGCTCTAATGAAGTCCCAGGGCTTCCCTCTTAGCGATCTGGATGCACCTTGATTTCTAGACTGTTCTGTACGCTCTCCTACATTCCCACTTGGCATTTTAAATGGGAAAATTTCTGAGTAGCTGTGGGCCATCTTAAGACATTAAATAACCATTTTAAGGGCTTTGTACTCTCTCTGACTTTTAGGGGGATGGTAACTGTCCTCTTCTCCATCAAATGATGCCACCACATTGAGTAGGATGGAAACAACAAAATACTGTGTTTAAAAACATAAAACTTTTGGCAAAATTTTTTCAGAGAAAGTCCTTCTGACTGCCTTTTTTTTTTAAGATGGTCTTGCTATGTAGTTCAGGCTGTCCCTAAACTCACTATGTAGCCCAGGCTGGGCTTGAACTCACCACAATCCTGCGGCCTCAGCCTCCCAAGTGCTGGGATTACAGGCGTGCACCTGGCTGCTTCTTATTTTTACACTATGGTGTGAGTGACATCACTCAATTACTCAGATAGATTCTCCCAAGATGGCACCGGCTTTGTCAGACAGTTGTTTTCATCTCTGCTTTTAAGTGAAGCAAATCAACAAAGTATGTTGCCCAAGGTGATATGATTTGTTACCTGGTGGAGCTGGGGTTAGAATACGGGCCCCTAAAAATAGCATTCTGAATGTTAGGAAAGAAGGAAGGTAGATGATCTCTGTTGGAGAGGACGGGCTTTAACTGGAGGTTAATACCTGAGAGGGACCACGCTGGCAGGTACACACCAGAGCGGCCCCTCTTACAGGCCGAAGGGTTTATAGGGGGTTTGTAAGAAGGGGTGGTGGCTACCTTGATCAGGGCTGCTCTGTAACTTGTGACGGCCAGGCTGCTGTCCCCGCTGTGTTTCTCTGCTAGGGCTCCTCATCTCCAAAGCCAGTGGGGACGGGCAAAGCTGCCTTCCGCATCTTTGCCTCTTAACAAGAGCCATAAATCCTGCGGGTTAAACTAGCCATGACCCAGCTGTGTTGGCAGTGGTCTCATCCCTCCGCGGAATGCTTACCATTCCCTGGTGACTTATAAGTGTGACTGACAAGTCCACGTGAGGTCCCAAAGTACTAAAAACAGCTCTCACCATCCAGTTACCAAATTCTTAAAATTCTGGATTGGGGTTTGGATAAAAAAGGATCCAGTGAAACAAATAGGAAAATTTCCACTCATGTGAAACTAAGAGGGAAATTCCCGCTCCTGTGTTTAAGTAGTTAGAGAACATAAAAAACAGGCTGCAGAGCTGACAATTCCACAGAAAATAGCCGTGGTAATCATTCTGGGCACGATCACCAAAGAGAACTTAGTTGTGTTAGTCCAGAAAGTGCAAATAGGACACAACTATATGTAGACATTATATACCTATGTTTCTCTTCCCTAGCTGAAATGTCTGCTTAATTATCACTGGTCATCCTAAACTCTTTTACGTATTTTACAAAATATTCCCGGATGATTTATAACCACTTCATCTAAGAGAACTCCATCAGAATGGGAAAAAATTCTCAGTCCCCAGATGAAGAATACAGGGTCAGGGGAGGGGTGACTCATCCACTCATCTGTATTGCAGGAAATCGATTGTTTGGGGATGGTTTAAAAAAATCATTTTAAAGTGCTGCTTTCAAAGCTACCAAGCCTCATGCATCGAACTGTACCGGAGATAACAATTTAAATAAAGAATCTAGCAGAAACACGATTGCTATCATCTATTATATCAGTATTTATATAATTCTAGTACTCTGGTAAAAGTAGATATAAACATTGGAAACACTGTAGTCTAAACTGCAACAAGGTGATTTTTCCTCCTCCTTTGGAATGGTGAAAACAGTTTATACAATCATTGTAATATACCGGAACACTTTCAACTGGCAGGTATTCAACCCCCACTGAAAGCAATTCTCTTACATCTCAGTAGATTAGAGACGTTCTCGGCTTATGGAGACAGGGGAATGTGGCCCAAGTACACAGGTGTCATGCTGGGTTTTATGCTTACCTGCAGAGTACCGTCCGTACCAGTTTCCTCGAAGAGGAGGTAGCTGACCTTCCAAAGCTCTGTTCTGGTCCTGCAGTCTTGTGAACAAATACAAATTCTCTTCTTCCGGGTTCTGATGAACTGCAAAGCTCAGAGGGCCGGCGGAAGGGGTCTCTGCTTCTTTGCTTTGAAAAGGTGCTACTTTAGTCACCCGAGGGTGAGCCTTGGAGTAGCTCAGACCCATTTCCTGAGAAGGAGGTCCAACGGAAAACCACGATGGAGGCAGTTCTGGGGCCTTTCATGTAGCTTCTTTTAATTAAGGAATTCCAGAAGTTACCCTAGCTTTGCAGAGATGTCCCTGCCTTCGTGACGTCCTTCTGGCTCTTTCCCCACACAGTAACTCTGGCTACTTCCTGGGAGGCTGGTTTCCCCGGAGAATTCCCTTCAAGTTCCTACTTTGTCATTCCAGACCCAAAGAATCCAGGTAAACATTGACTTGGTTACACCACTTTCTGAGAAACTTAGTGGTAGGAACAGAAACCACTGTTGATTATTAAACACATACCTAACTCAAGGAAGGCTGTTAACAGAAACATAGCCAGAGGTTTAGGGAAGTCTTAAACCTGACCCTTTAATCACCAGTACCTCTGTAAGAATGAAAAGCTGAGAACAGTGAAGTTATGTTTGGAGATAGAGGACGCTTGGTAACTGTGGAGGCCCTTGGTAATCTTTAACTTTAAGGAGGGAACATGTCCTCCAAACAGAAGCCGAAATGGTAGCGTGGCTGAAGCTCTGTTTCATTTTTCTATCCGGGGCTTGAACTTCCTTGGAGGGCATGGACAGCACGTGGGAAGGCATCAGGAATTTTCTTCCCTTGGGAATGAGGGAAGAAACTTCTTGAATAAATAGTCCAAATATAAATTGTTTTCAAAGATAGCCTGTAGACTACATTTTTAAAAAGTAGGGGGAAGAGAAAGATTGGAAAATATGGGTCAAAATGTTGAGTAGTGATTTTTGAATGGTGGGCTTATAGGTGATTTTTATTTTACTCTTTATATTTAGAAACGGGACTCACTGTGATGTTCTAATTGTTTGGGACCACAGATTACATGCCTTCATCATAACGCCATAGAGAAATTTTAAAACGAACATTTCTTAGCCTGCTGTGGTGGCCCACACCTGTAATCCTAGCACTCTGGGAGGCGGAGGCAGGAGGGCAGAAAGTCCATCCCAGCCTGGGCAATTTAGTAACTTAGTGAGATTTGTCTAAAGAATAATAATAAAATAAAAAGGGCTAGGGATGTAGCTTAGTGTGAAGGTACTGGGTTCAATCCCTAGGACTGAATTTTTTCCCCCCTCATTTTGGTAAAATATTCGCTAAGGGCTAAGATGATATCTGTAAAGTCTCGAAAGCCAGTGAGAAGGGTTTGGCTCTGACGGCGTCTGTATTATTTAATTTGGAGAGCCTGTATCATTGAGGAATCCAGTTAGTTGAGGAACCGACTGAGGAAATGAAAATGCATTTCCAGGATTATGTCTCTTCATTTCTAGCCACTTCTGAGCACCGTGCTGTCCTCAGCTTATTCAATTTACTGGTCTGTATAACGGGCTTAATAATAATACTTCACAAAGAATGAATTGTTCGGTCCCATTTCCAGCCGTTAGCGTAACACTTGGCATGCAGTAGCTCCGTCGGCCTTATCTGGGGTGCTCTTCTTCCTAGAAAGCACTGCTGCTTGGCTCCTTCTTCGTAAGATAGTCCTTGTCAGAATCCATTAAAATACACATACGCCTGTAATCCGAGCACTTGGGAGGCTGAGGCAGGAGGATCGCTGTGAGTTCGAGACCAGCCTGGGCTACATAGTGAGTTCCAGGTCAGTCTCAACTACATAGTGAGACCCTGTCTCAAAAAACCAAAACCAACCAAACGAACAAACAAAACACATACTCCTGTCTGAAAGAGTCTACATCTAAGTACAGAAAAGGCCCAGGAGGAACAAGGAGGGTAAATCAATTGAGTCTATTTAACTGAAACAAACGACAGTGCTTAAGAAATATCTTTTTAAAAATCTTCATATGTTGAAAGAATTTTATTAAAATCTTGGTGAAATTTTAAAACTGTATTAAGTGAAAAAAGAATTTAATCTCATTTGTAGAGTTACATTATGAAATACAATTTCCTAACCACTAAAATTGGGACACATTAAAAAGCTCTCCACTACCAAAACCTATCATCACTTCCCAAATTATGTGTGATCCTTTATCCATAAACTCCGAAGTCCAAATGACTGTGATTATTTATTAGTGTATGTAAAGATGATAAAGTATGCTGTCATCCGTAATGGAGTTCGTGACTATGAAATGAAAATATGCATTTATAAATCTCTTTACTTGAAGCTCAGAAAAGATAAGCTAAATTTTTCTAACTCCAAAGATAGCATCAGAGTGAAGTTTATTTGATAAAAGGCAAAGTAAGAGAAGGTGGTGGAACCCCAGAGATGAGCAGGAGCAGGAAAAAATCCCCCCGCTTCCCTCCATCTGTCTTCTTGCTTCCTACCACAGCAGAGATTGAACCCAGGACCCACACGGTGAATTACATCTCCGGCTTTTTAAAAAGTTTGAGACAGGGTCTCTTGAAGTTGTCTAGGCTGGTCTTGAACTTGCAGTCCTCCTGCCTCAGCCTCCCGAGTAGCTGGGATTATTGGCAGGCTTCATCATGCAGCTAAGGCCACTATTTCTGCACCTGCAGAATCACAACTCCCAACCTGTGGCATCTCCACAGGCCGTGAAGGTGGCCTTGCCCCTGCTGAGAGTGCTGGTACCTTTCTCGCCAGGTGAAGGCAGTGCTCTCCGTCAGGGCAGAATGAGCCCAGCTTTAGGCAAAAGCTACAAAAGCCGCATTTCACAACCAGAGTTCTCAGCTTTACTTTTTTTGCACATTTTGGTGGTATGTAATGTTTACATTCTTTGGGTGAAGCTAGTACACGTGTGCAACACATTTTAGTCTGTTTTTATATCCTCTTTCCCTTCTCTCCCTGCCTTCAATCTAGTCTTGGGGAAAAACTGTTATACAATCTTGTTTAGTAGATTTAAATTCCATAGAAACTCAACACGTACTCTTAATGAGATGTGGATTTTCCTGCTCTCTAATAACAGACCATTTTATATTTAAAGGACATAAGGTAAGATCTAGGCTTTAAGTATGAGTTTGGTATCAGAGAGAAGGGAGAGAGAGAGAGAGACAGAGAGACAGAGAGAGAAAGAGAGAGAGAGAGGGAGGGAGAGGGAGGGAGGGAGGGAGAGAATCTTCTAGGATTTCTTCAATCCATCTGTGGCCGCATGGCTGGATAATGCAGCCAGAGAAAGCAAGAGGAGGCTTTTCTGTCGGCCGACAAGGCTGCGACAAGGCTGTGACCTGTCAGCCCTTGCCTTCATTCAGATGACCTACCAGCATCTGCCCCTCTCCTGGCCCCACACCATGCCGAGGAGGCTGCTGGAGGTAAGGAATACATATGTGGAGAGTGAGGAAAGAAGGATTCATTTGCAGGTAGCTCACCAGCTACTATGTGATTCGAAGAGAAAACACCTGCTGGATAGCAGTAAGTTCCAAGAAGCTACGTACGCAAACCCACTCCACTGCTCAGTGGCAAGATAAAAAACCTAATGGTGGACACGTGGATGTTTGCTATAGTTGCCCCTCCATATTTGTAGGGCACTGTTTCCAGGACCAAAGCTGTGGATGCTCAAGTCCCTCATATAAAGCGCACAGAATTTTCATATAACCTTCATGTATGCACTTTAAATAGAGTCCCCAACCCCAGACTGTGGAACTGTACCAGTCCACAGCTTGTGAGGAGTTGTGCCCCACAGCCAGAGATGAGCAGAGGGTGAGTTCAAGGGTGAAGCTTCTCTGTGTTTGCAGCCATGCCCTGCACCTGCAGCACCTCCTTGAGCTCTGCGCCCACCGGGCGAGGGGCATTCGATTCTCACAGGAGCACCAGCCCCACCGTCAACTTCAACTGCGCATGCCAAGGGTGGAGGTGCTTCTTTGAATCATTCTGGAAGCTTCCCTGTTCATAGAAAAAATGCCTTCCATGGAGCATCCCTGATGTTAAAAAGCTTGGGCACTGCTGCTTGAAATCTTCTCTGAAGGACTTCCAATCCCCAAAGCAAGGCCAGTGCTGTGTAAGAGCAGGTGCTGCATTGTTCACGGAATAATGTCAAGAAAAAAGGCCGTATCTGTTCAGACATTTTTAAATGTCTGTGTTTTAAGTCCACGGTTGATTGGGTCCATGGATTCAGGGGACACAGAGGGCTGATCGTATGTGACTGACGCCCAGTGCTAGCACCGTGTTCCTCTGGAGAGGTGGGTGGCTGTCTGGAGTCAGCATGGTTAAATTGTCTTGCATTCTTTCTGCATTTTAATTTCTTGGAAAAGCCTCAGACAGGATTTAAAACACCTTAGGGTGGGATTTAACTTCACACATAGGTTAAATTACTATACACTGAGTGGGGTTTAAATCCTAAATGTTTATAGGATTCCTAAATTATGCTGCTAATAAAGTTACAGCCCATTCTGCAATTGATCTGTAAAGCATAAACCATCACGGGGGCCCTTTCAGCAATGTGAGCAATATGTTTGGACGCCAGCTAAGCAGAGCTGATGTATGAACCAAACCTTGATTTTCCTCCGGGTGATGATTTCCCTGGGTTTCTGTGCACGTTGGGTGTGAAGGTGATGGTGCAGCCAGACTGACTTGGCTGGAAGGGCTCAAGCAGAGCAAATGAGGGAAAAAAAAATTCTGAAGCTTCTCATACAAACTGCTAAATGAGATCAGTCAGATGGAATTTGTGTCTCGTCTCTTTAAATGTAATCTGTAAGTGCATCATTGAATTAAATGCTAAATGCAGACTATCACTTCCCTGTGCTATTCTGAGTGCAGTCAGTGGATGAGTTTCTTAAGATGCACTGAGAAGGGATTAACTTCAGTGAAACATGTTCATGTATTTTATCGCTCACCGGGAATATCAACCTTTAGTTACAGTACTTTTTAAAACTTCTTTACAAAGTGCCTACACCCATCTCTCCGACCTCACATATGTTTCTCCTCAAGCAAAAAGCCTGCCCCTGTTGATGCCTACGAGAAGCAGCTCTCTTGTTCTCCTTTCTTCTCCAGGTGTGGGGTGGGCCAAGGTGGTAGGAGTGAATCTTCTGCAGTCAGTGCTAGTGCCCGGGCTCCAGAAATCTGTATTATCAACCGTGGGTTTTACAACTTTGGCTCTGGAGCTGGTCTGAGCTAGGAGCCCACCCTGCACTTGGAAAATCTTTACTTTATTATTATTCTTTTACACTTCAATTCGTGATGTTTAATTAAGACACAATATTAAGCTCAAAGATACAAAAATACATAA